GCAGAACCAGGAGAGGCTCCTTCTGAGAAACGCGAGTTGCTGTCAGCAGTAAATGTGTAAATGTTCGGCACAACTGCCGCACTCCCTGATCTGTTTTGATGCTGTTGAAGTCGAGACAGAGCCGAGGGAACCGCCCGAGCTAACCCGCGGCGCCCCCGCAATCTCTGTGCGGGGAGGGAGCAGCAGCAGCGGCCGCTCTGCATCCATGGAGCGTTTTCCCCCACTCCCTCCCTCCCTCCCTCCCTCCCCCTGAACTTTCTCCACTAAAACTTGAGCAGTTGGGAAGGGTTCGCCCTGCCGGGGCCGGAGCCGCAGGGAGTGGAGCCCCGTTGTGCTCGCTGGGGGCAACTCTCAGAGCATGGCCGCCAGGCGACAACAATCTCGTGTCAGGATGATGCTTTTTTTTCCTCTGAAAGGCTGCGGAGCCTGGCTGGCTTTTTTTTTTTACTTTTCCTTTTTCCTCCAAGGCCTTGCAGTTGTGAGCAGCGGGCCGCCGCCCGAGCACCTCACGTCAGATGCAGCGGAGAAGTAGCTTGCACTCCCACCGGGATCAGTCTTTCTCTAAGAGTTTCTTCAGATCTCATATGTAGCTAAAAATCCTCGGTGAAGACTCAATGACAGTTACGCCTCGGAAATACTGATTACGATTCATACCGCGGTAGCGCTGAGGAAAGCAGTGCCATGTTCTGTTGGACGTTGACTTACCTACGGACATCGTCCCTGGGCTAAGTTGTTACAGACATGTATGCACGAGACCCAGACAAGTGCCATTAAACCCTTCTTGCAGCTGGGGAGTGAAGGCAGCAAGGCACTGGAAGCATGCGTGCTGTTACTAGTGCTCGCGTGGTAAAGGTTAAACTGCTCAGACCAGCTCTGCCGTATTCTCTGGCTTCTTCCTCTGCCCCTCGCGGGTGTACTTTATCCCTGAGGTAACCGTTCTGGTTCCCCGTGTTTGTTGTGTTTCTGTTTAAGTATTTGCTCAGGTTCGTGCACTCGTGGTCGCCACACGCTAGTTCGGGGGGGTCTTCTCTGTTCTTTATCTTTTGGGGCCGTTTTCCACTTTCTCTTCATGCAGCTCACACACGCAGTGCTGCACAGGCGCCTTGTGGGTCCCAGCGTACACTGACGCCTCACACGAGGAATCTTACCTTCGGTATGTGCCACTGCTAAAGGACTGTTGCATTGCACCGTTTTTCATCTTGTATTCTTTCAGCATTTGCCCACCCAGTGCTCGATACGAGAGAGAAGCACAGCCTCATGGAAATGTAGACGTATCGCCACCGGCCAAGCTCTGCGCAGTAGCCTGGTCCGAGTGTCTGGAATTAAGTAATGCAGCTCCTCTGCATACCAAATGAGAGTGACACTCGGGATCCACCTCTTGGCACTAAGTAACACGGCTCATCTCGGGTGATTCCCTTCCTCCCTGTGCAAGTCAGAAGTAGGAAGAGCTCCTTTATTCTTCTCTGATACCACCCGAGCGGGAAGCAGACAGCCAGGCTGCCTTTTCTGTCATGACTTTGGAGAGAGACCGTCAACTGGGCAGCTTAACTGTCTTTAACAAGGAGGATTTTGAAGAAGGCTGGGTTGAAGTGGCCAGCGGAGGCTTTGGGCACGTGTACCAAGTCAAGCACAAGAAATGGAGGACAGTTTATGCAGTGAAATGTTCTCCATACCTGCATCAGGACTCCAGCATGGAGAGGTAACTGTGTGGTCTCTTCTAGCTCAGCAGTTCAAACTCAGAGCCATCCGTGGTGATTTGGGGCTAAAACTGACGGAAATGTTCGCATGGCTTTTTCTCCCTGGGAAGACAAGTTTTTGGTACCCAAAGGGAGTGGGAAAAAAACTAGTGATCTCGAGTTCTGCCTCTCTTTCTTATGTGTGTATGTGCATGTGCCAGTGGGAATGGAACACTTACTCAGAACAGTTAGCGTGGAAATCTGGAGGCTGGAGAAGGCATCTTAAACTGAACACGGGCATGTGGATCAAAGCTGCCCGATTACTTATTTGCAGCTTTCACTGGACACTGGGACTAATGGGTATCTATTAAACTAAATTAGTCATTAAAATCATCAGGTTTAAAGCTGAGGGACAGAGAATTTCCAGCTGTTTTTACTGGGCTGGCAAAGCTCTCTGCTCCCTCACTTACCTTACCCTACCAGACGTGCTCTTTTCTCTTGACGGTGCACCTGCACCTTCAGTTTACTTTTTGCTCTGTCTCTCACCCGCAGAGACTCTTCTGCTGACTGCCTTGGCTCCGGAGGTAGAATAAAGCCAGGTAACTGCAGCCACTGCCAAAACCACAATGAGTGTAGGCAGTGCTGGCGAAAGAACAACCGAGTCAATGAAGTTAGTTATTCTAGAATTTGATTCCGCTCAAGTTGGAAGCATCCTGCTGGTTAAAAACCCCACCGCGCTCCTGTGGCTTCTTGTCATGTTTCTGACAGCAGCTGAGGTGGTTCAGTCTGAGCAGGGACTGTCCTCTTTGGTTTGCAGTGCTCATGATCTGTGTCTGCATTTCATTCTCGTTTGGGAAAAAAAAGAAAAAAAAAAAAAAGATAAGTTAATCAGTTTTACTTCTGCATATATCAGCTCTAGTAAACTTAATCATACAGCTTTCTTGGCTTATCTCAGCTCCTAGTGTACGCTCCAGAAGAATGGTTGAATGTGAACAGAAATGTTCATTGATTTTTTTAAATAATTTCTACAATCACCAGGATTTGAAAAACTCAATTGGAAAATCTGAGTTTTGGAAAAATATCTAACAACGTGTGTGCCTTTAGTAGTTACTGTACTGGTTTCCTAGGGACTGAAGTTATACTATTTTGTCATTAAAACAACTTTGCACTCCAGTGTAGTGTTATAAAAGGTTTTCCTACTTGCTTTAGGTTTCCACATTTGTGGGAGGTGGGCCTTCAGTGTACAGTTTGTCTAATATCCACAGAGAACATCTTTGAGTGCATGGCACGTGAATCCGTCCTGAGCCTTCTCATATGTATTATAAAATAGTTCTTGTTTGTCTGTCAGCACTGAGTACAAGCCCCAAACACAAAACTGAAAGCTTCCAGGCCACTCAGTGGTTTGAAAACAGCACAGCAGCACAGTTGTCTAGTAAGGGGGGCAAAGGAGGCAAACGTTTCAAAGAGCTTCTGAAAGTCCTTAGCACTCCTGTCTGTGGGCTTGTAGAAACGATGCGTCTCGTCAGTAGCTGTGGATGAAGACCAAGGTGTGGTGACTTCCATCTGCTCGCGTTCTCGATGCGTAACCAACCGCTTCGCGTTCTCCTTTCAAAACGACGGGGCAAACTGACAGGACGTTTATTACCCTTGGATGGTTTTGCTTGTCAGGAGGAAGCGGGAGATGGATTTTATGGGCTGATAGAAGACATCCCTGTGGGCGCACGGAAGCAAGGAGGGCAGGTGCTCAGTGAATGCCACTGAATCTATGCATCACCTGAGAGGAGGAACGAGAGTGGCTGGGAGACAGCTCTTGCCTCAGCTTCTCTCAGCTGCAGAGGCTCATAGTTCACAGGCTGGTTAGGCTGAGGAGAGAAAAAAAAAACAAACATGGGGAACCCACAGGAAAAGAAAACACGGCCACAGATGCAGTCACAGTATTTCCCAGAGGGCTGAAACACTCAGATTATGTGGGGCATTTATGGGGCTCTTGCTTTTCTCTCTTACAAGCCTCATTTCTTGGGACTCGCTCTGCTTGTCCAGCATCCACCTTCTTGCTGTACCTCACGTATCTGTGCTAAGGGTGCAAAGGCCTCCTCCTGGGCTAACCGCAGACCCTCTGTTACTCCCCACAAGGCTGGTCTGCCACAGGATCCAGCCCACCCTGTGCAGGTCATCTCACCAGCCCCCGGGGTGCCTGGGAGAGAGGCAGGCAGGGGCTGTGCCCAGTGATTCTGTCCCAGGAAGGGAACCAGAAACCACAGAAGTCATGTGTTTCTCCACACCCGACATCTCCCCGGGAGTAGGAAGACTTTTCAGCCCTCTGTGCTGCGGGTTCCAACTGTCTTCCTGTGTTAAGCCTTTCTCCCACAGAGGGAGAGGCAATACCTCGGATTCCTCAATACGGAGGAACGTTTGCTGTGGGGAGCCTGCTGGAGGAAGTCTGGAAGAAGGATTTGCTTAGCTGAACTGTGTTTAGAGCTATTAGTGGCCTAGCATAATGTTGCAAGCTCGTATTCATTCCCAGGATGTGCTTTTTAAACGCAGTTCTGGCACTTTATTGCTTGGCTGCTGTCAGCGTCCTCTGGGCACCCCAACTTGTTCAGCAGGTTGGGAGATGTAAAGATTGAGTGAATCAGGTCTGACAAAACTGGCAACAATGGACAGGCATGTCTAGACTCCCTCCGGGACCAGATTGACCGTGCTCGCAGACAGAAAGCTGCAGGCAGAGGGCATGGGGGTAGGT